GAGAGAGACACTGAGAGTGTAAGAGAGAGAGAGAGAGAGAGAGAGAGAGAGAGAGAGAGAGAGAGAGAGAGAGAGGGCGCGCGAATACGCACGCGCAATGAAGAGAGAGAGACGTACATGGCCCGCAAGAAAGAGAAAGAGAGCGAGACAGCAAAACTACGTCGCTTTTTTTTCTTGTTTTTTTTTCCTTCCTTTTTTTTTCGTTTCAAGAGAGTGCCCCATAGCTACATGGCGCGCCATTGTCTCTTGGCCCATAGCTACATGGGTTGACGGCGTGCGCTGGTTAGATTCTGTTTTTTAGAGGCAACCCTTTCTGTATGTAGGGGGACCTTCCCTTTATTTGCTCCCATCCCGTTGGCTCCCCTGGGTTCTATTTTGTCCCTTTGGCTATTTAGTCCTTTTAGAGGGTCTCACCCGCGGTCCCATTTGGGGTTCCTTCATGAGTTGTTGAGGTTGACATCGAACCGTCGTCACTTTGTCATTCTTTTTCCCGGCTAGTGTTGTCGTAGGCTTATTACCATGTATTTGGTCTGGTTAGTAGGTTTTATTCTTTAGTACGTCTTGGCGTACGCTTTTGGTTGAGTTTTGGTACCAGGATGAAGTGATGATTGGTTCGGTTCCCCAGGTGTTTTCTTTTCACTTGACTCTTACGAGCTATTAATACGCGTGATACACTGTTCTCGATGCACTTGCGACAATGACTCAAGACCCCTGAGGAAGGCTGGTTGGCGGGCCAGCCGAAACTAGTCGGGTCCACGCCGCCGGTTTCATTGTAATATTTTACGAAACGTCACGTCCGGGTTCTTTGTATCAGCGTCTCTCCTTCTTTCTTTTCTTCTTCTTCTTCTCTTCTGCCTCTTCTTCTTCTTCTTCTTCTTCTTCTTCTTCTCCTCTTCTTTCTCCCTCTTTGCTTTCTGCTTGTCGGTCCTTGGATTTCGACGGATGATTTATTCCCTTTGAAGCTAGTTTGTTGACTTCCAACTGCTGCTTCGATTCACGAAGTAACTGCCGTAGGGATCGTACTACGTGTTAGTGTGGCTTCGACTGTGCCCGATATCATCGTCATTTCTGATGGCTTTGTTCGTGCCTAGTTCAAACGTGCCCCAGTCTACCATCGTCAGAACGTGTTTTAACTGTGGTGACCCTGGCCACTTTGCCAGATGGTGCCCCCATCCTAAGCCTTCTAACCCTCAGTCCGCTATTGTCCCTTCTCATTCCCCTCTTCTTAGTCTTCCATCTAGTTCTAATTCCTCTGCGATTGTACTTGGTAACAATTCGGGGCAGTTTCCACGTGGATATGGGTGGAGTCAGGCGAAGCAACGGCTGGACTACTTGGAGCACATTGTTGCCGAGATGAAGCTAAGACACGATGCCGAGGTAGAGAAGGAGAAAAACTTGAAGGAAGAAGAGGATAAGGCTAAGAAGGCTAAGGAGGAGGAGGAGAGGCGAGCCTCGGAGAGGAAGGATCGTGAAGATTTTCGCAAGCAGCTGACCGATTCTATGAATTCTCGTCTGGATGGCGTGGTCGATCTGTTGAGAAGCAAGAGCAATTCCAACGAGGTCGAAGCGCTTCGGAAGGAGGTTGAGAGGCTAGGTGGAAGAAGTCCATTGGCCGATGCTTCGGTTAACTCTACGAATGCTATGATCCAAGACAATGACGGGCTGTTGGCTAGATTGCTTGCAGAGCAGGACAAGATGAAAGCTCAGTTGGAAGATGCTCTGGCCGCCAAGCGAAGATTAGAGGCTATCGAGAAAGAGATGGGTGAGGTGATTAGAGCTCGCGATGAAGCTCGAGCCGATGCCGAGAAGTGGCAGGAGGAGGCTCTGCGTCCAGGCAAGAGAGGCTGTATTACCCTTTCGACACCTGTCGCCAAGTCTAATCTACGCCCTGTTCGGTCTACACCTTTGAAATCGTCGGTGGCCTCCGTCAACTTGAAGAGGGTGGCTGACATGCATCGTCTGGAGGTGGAGACCATCCAAGAGATGCGTATTCAGGAATTCAACGCAAGGAGGGAGGCTGAGCAGGAGCTCGACAAGGCCAAGGAGATAATCGCACAGTTAGAGAGGGATCGGACCGAGAAAGACAAAGCCACGAGGACTACGGCCAAAGGTAAGGAGAAGGTCTCTTATGGGAAAGGCAGTTCCAAGGATGCAAAGATGAAGGCGGCTTTCGTCAGAGAAGCAAGAAAGGATCTGCGAGGTTTAACCAAGGATGCTCTCGTTACGATCTGTGAGAAGGAAGGGGTCAAATATGCCGGTGTTAAGCAGACTGTTGACGACATTATCGCCTCACGAGTTAGCAAGGCGTTTCCTCCCAAAGATTCAGTGGTAGATGTTTCGGAGGATCTGGTCGACACAGTCAACGGTAAGGACTCCGGGGGAGACTCGGCTGCATCTTAGGGTCTCTCCCGGACGTGACCACGCTATGGAATCTCTTTCGCAGTTATTGCAAGTTGAGGGCTAGTTCGTCTTCGTATTTACGGTGTAAGGTTCTGAATTCCTTTTTGCAGATTGTTGTTATTGGCCTTATTCTTGGCGGATGCATTCCTTGGGCGGATAAGTTTATTGGTCATATTTCTAATAGCAGCGGTCTCAGTATGGTAGGTTCGACGATGGACCGTTGGTTTATCTACTCGTTTCCCCTTTGTATAAGCATTGTTACATTGGCAGCATTGGTCGGGATTTGTCTTCTCGTTGGGGCGAGCATGTGTACCGTGCCAAAAGTGACGATCTGGTCAATAAAGGTTGTCGGAATGAAAAATTGTATAGTTGGTTCCGTCGCTGTGGGGTGGAGAGTTATGTGGCGTTTCCGATCTGTTTTTGTTCAAAGGATGATCTTCTTAATGTTGAGAAGTCCCTTATTAAGTTTTATTGCCCCGTGCTGAATTCTAGGGATCGTCCTCGTCGTTGTCGTAGATCTCGGCAAGGTAAGGAGGAGAGGTGTAAGAGGTGTGTTCGTAACAGTGTTCGTCTTTTGAAAACCCCATCTCCTTCGGCTCCTCATGAGTTGATGGTGTTCCATTCTTCTGTGGRTATAGTTTCCTATAGTTTGTATCGGATTTTAAATTTTTGTTGCGAATCTAAGATTGATTCGGTGACCATTGTCTGCAGAGGGGGTTCTATGCGAGTTGATGGCTGGAAGATATTGAAACGTGCATTCGGTTCTTCTATTGTGGTCAGCAATTTCGGTCGGGATCAGCTTCGGTCCGTGAAAGGTTGGCTGGTTGATGGGTCTGTTGTTTCTTTTACTTCCATCATTCTGTGGCAAGTTTTTGGCCCTCAAAGCTTCGTTGGCCTCTCTGCTTAGCAATCCGTCTGAGCGGCGTTCTCTGGCTACTTGGGAACTAGGATCTCTCATCTCTGCTTTTTCCGCTGTTAGATGCTTTTCCGAGAAACGTTCCCGGTTTTGTCTTCGGTTAATTATTTCTAAACACATTTCTTCTTGTTTTGGCCTGCCTGTTCGGAAACGGTTGGTCGTCAGAGTCACTTATGACGATGTTTTTCGGAAAGTTGAGATTCGCAAGCTGTGTTGTCTGGTTATCCATGATCTCGATATCGTCGATCCTTGGAAATCCCTTCTGGTTCGCCGCTTGCGTGTTGTGTGGCGTAAAAATCGTTCGATCGACGACTGTATTCACAATTTTTGAAAATTTTCGAGACTATCGTCCTATGATTGCGTATGTTCTTCCCTTGATGCTTCTCTGAGTCGTATTGATAGCCACGTTTCTTTTCGTCTGAGTACATATGATTCCTTTCCCTCCTGGATGAACAACTCTAAGAATGTGCTGAAACCCTCTGGTGTTAATCCGATTGTGGATTTGAGGAGGCAAATTCTGTCTTCTTTCTTATCATTCCCGGAACTCAACTCTGAATCTGCGCTTTCTGTTTTGTCCTCCTCTCTACTCAGTCGTTGCTTGGATGCTCCCAACTCTAGTGGTGAGGATTTTTGTTCGGATTCTGCCTTGCTAGAGCAGCGTAGGAGGATTGAGGGTCTAGTTTGCTGTCCAATTGACCACAATCCCGGGGATACATATGTTTGTTGCCCTGCTGTTTATGGGCAAGGTATGTCTAAGTTGTTTAACGACAATCCTGCTTTCCTTCATGAGTCAAGAAAAGAGGCGAGTGTTTTACAAAACTGTAAGGAAGTTTTTACTAAGGAAGGTTTTGAAAAATTGGGTAGGTGGAATGCTAAAGGTGAGTTTGGAAATGCCTTTTGTCTGCCTAAGCATAAGGACGTAGGCCGTAGGCGTCCTATTTGTCCGTCTTTTCCTGAAGGGTCGGCGCTGTGCGGTAAGAGGATTGCCTATGCAATTAACGAGCTTCTGTGGAGTCTACCTAAGCCTTTTCATTTCAATCTCCGTCGTACCTCCGATTTCATCCTGGGTATCAACGCTATCAACGATAAGATCAAAGGTAAGGATCAAATGTTGGGGGTCTCCTTTGATGTGAAGGAAATGTTTTCCAACTTGCACCATCTCTCTATCTTTAAGGCGTTGCGGTGGGCTTTTGATTACTGGTGCTCCGAAGGCTACAAGGGTGTTCTCGTAAGAAAGCATGGTAAGGTTGCCCGCATCACTCGCGGTCGAGCTGAAGATGGTTGGTTGCTTATTAAGTTCTCTATCATCCTTCGCTTTGTTGATTATGATCTTAACGATACCTTCGTCCGTGCCTCCGGTGTCTTGCTGAAGCAAACCTCGGGCATTCCCATGGGCAAGTCTACGAGCCCAGCCCTGGCGTGTTTGCTTTGCGCATACAACGAATATTCCTTTCTATCTTCTCTTTGGGCTGATTGCAAATTGGTTTCCGGCTTTCGTGTCGTAGATGACGTCTCCATCTTCGTTCACTTTGCTTCGTCTTCTGTGGCCTCTTTGACTAAGGCTCGGGTGATCGTTGAACATTTTCATAATTGCTATGATTCGAACTTGACTCTTGAGCAGACAAATGAGGGCAGCGATTGGGACTTCATTGGTTGTGTTGTTAAGGTTTTTAATAACCCATGCAAAATCTGTTGTACGGCTACTCATAAGAACCAGCGGGTTATCTCCGACAAGGGTCTTGTCTTCCACAGTTTGCAGGATTTCTCGTCTTTTTCCAGCCGGCAGCAGAAGCTGGACGTCATTATCTCCTTTCTTCATCGAGCCCGTGTTTTCACTAATGTTCCCGGTTTGGAGGTTGCTTTCCTTCTCACTTTGAAGTATGAACTGTGGTTGAGAGGATATCCCGCTTGCTACTTCGACTGTGCTCTTGAGAATTTTTCCCGCAAATTTTCCGACTGCTGGGATCATTGGCTAGGCGTTTTAACTAAGTGGAATCGGTTGTTTCCTTAGGTTAAGGTCAGAGCAGGTGCTTGGCTCGTTTTAGGGCCGGTTGCTGAAGAATTCCGGTTTCTCCTTTTTTGATACTAGACGGTGTCGTCATGGTTGGGTACACCAGTTTGTTCGTGGTTTCGTGTTTGGTTGGTTGGCCGAGCTTTGGCTTTTTGATTTTGGGTTGACGGTGTGTGCAGGTTAGATTCTGTTTTTTGGAGGCAACCTTTCTGTATGTAGGGGGACCTTCCCTTTGTTTGCTCCCATCCCGTTGGCTCCCCTGGCTTCTATTTTGTCCCTTTGGCTTTTTAGTCCTTTTAGAGGGTCTCACCCATGGTCCCATTTGGGGTTCCTTCATGAGTTGTTGAGGTTGACATCGAACCGTCGTCACTTTTTCATTCTTTTTCCCGGCTAGTGTTGTCGTAGGCTTATTACCATGTATTTGGTCTGGTTAGTAGGTTTTATTCTTTAGTACCTTTTGGCGTACGCTTTTGGTTGAGTTTTGGTACCAGGATGGACGTGATGATTGGTTCGGTTCCCCAAGTGTTTTCTTTTCACTTAACTCTTACGAGCTATTAATACGCGTGATACACTGTTCTCGTTGCACTTGCGACGATGACCCAAGACCCCTGAGGAAGGCTGGTTGGCAGGCCAGCCAAAACTAGTCGGGTCCACGCCGCCGGTTTTATTGTAATATTTTACGAAACGTCACGTCCGGGTTCTTTGTATCAGCGTCTCTCCTTCTTTCTTTTCTTCTTCGTCTTCTCTTCGACCTCTTCTTCTTCTTCTTCTTCTTCTTCTTCTTCTTCGTCTTCTTCTTCTTCTTCTTCTCTTCTTTCTCCCTCTTTGCTTTCTGCTTGTTGGTCCTTGCATTTCAACTGATGATTTATTCCCTTTGAAGCTAGTTTGTTGACTTCCAACTGCTGCCATAGTTACATGGCGGTATTGCCACTGGCGATGGCAGTGGCATGACCGCACTCTCCCTTTGCCACACACCCACGCGCACACACGCACAGACTCTTGGCCGCACTCTCTCTCTGATACGCACGCACGCACAGACACACACAATCTTTTTTTTCCTTTCCTTCTTTTTTCATTTATTTTTTTCGTTTTTTTTTTTCTTCTGCGCAT